ACCTAAAAATTCAGATCTCATGCATATTGCAGGCTAATTTCTGTGGGAAAGAAGAAAAGCGGAGGCTGAATGGTTCAGGAAATTGATAATTAAAGACTAAAGCCTCTCCTCATAGGTTCACATCCAATCGAGGTCAATATTGACTGAAAATAGTTACCATTGGATAGTTCAGCAGTTCATATGAGTTACTCCATCCATTTGATAGTGGACAACTGTCTCAAGTCAGGTGCACAAAAGAGGTTAACAAAGGAACAGACTGAAGACTAATGGTTGTGCAAGGTAGGGGACACCAGAACAGGTTTGAAGTGCAGTGCAAGGAAGCCTTTGCTGGTTGAGATTGATAAGCAGGAATCCACAGTATGGTTAATGTAACAGCCTTCATGAACACTGAATTCAATATACAATTCTTAAAGCCAACAAGATATTCATATTTGTGAATGTACAATACAATTAACTTCAGATTGGGATACTTGAGGTTAATGCTTGATTAAAAAAGTGACAATTTATTTTTACACACGCTAATTTCCAGTCAACATGAACTTAACACAAATTGTGCACTTACCAGTAAATTCTGCTGTCAAAGATCATTGCAAGGACTGCTGCTGCACTAATTGCATATGCCAAACAGTCTCTAAACAGTGGCCAACAAGACAGCCTCGAAACCTGCAGGACACAAATTACTTTTTCAAATCTATTATAGTTCTTTCACCAAGTACTGAACATGCTGCCTTAATGTTTCTGTATTGATATGTGACTAACTTGGTTCTTAGAAAATGATTTAAATGTAGTAACTCAAAAGTAATTAGTGTTTTTTTTTTAATCTTATTGGGGAGTTATCTTCTGATTGGTTACATGCTGTTTTGCTACTGAGTAATAAATTGAACTATTATCATACAAAACTTGCTTTGTGGCTTTTGTCAGTAAACCATAGGAAGTTACAATTATTTGGCTCTAAAGAGAGCAGAATTAGATCAGTGTTTTACGTACCACGCTAGATAACAACCCACAAGCTGCACAGATACCAAGAAGGTTATAGATTGCAGATCCAAGGATGGTGCTAACTCCAATGTCTCCCTTTGTCACGAATACCCCTGTAAGCAAAATAGCGTTTAACATAGTTAATTTCCGCTGTTCCGTTTTTTTAGGAGAAGGGGCGATTATATATTCTGAATTGTTAAACAATTGTTTGTTTTACCTAGAAAAGCAGTGACCAATTCAGGAGCAGAGCTACCAGCTGCCATAAAAGTTGCTCCAGCAACATCCTGAGAGAGGCCAAGGGCTGAAGATGGAATAAAATAATTACTATTAAACAAAAGTTATACCTCTAGTCTACACACACTACTTACAACTAATGTGTAAAAAGTACAGTAGCTCCTTACATTATTGGGAACCACAAAATCAACATTCTTAGCAGAAGAAAATTAATTTGTGTTACAGAATAAGCTATAACACAGATGCTTGGAGACCTTTGAATGTCAGTAAGACAACTGATCAAGAACTTCATTTATAAACTTTTCTAAAGATGGGTGCATAGGTTTAAGTGTTGAAATAGTTTTTGCTCTAATAAGTGCACAAGATTTATAAACTTGTAGGATTGAGACCTTTATTTGTGGATGAAAAATTTAAAGTTGTCAGATTAAATCCAAGTTCATTGATGTTCTAGATGTTACTTGTTTGTATCTACTTTTGTGAGAAAAATACACTCAAGTCAAGCATCAGCAACTCAGTGAAGCATAAAACAACTGACCATTAGTTCCTGCTTCACTTATGTGCTGAATCCATTTGTAAAATGGGTATAGTACTACTTGTTTCATGGATATATTGTGTAAGGCTTAGGCCATGGCTACACTATTAAGCTTACAATGGCACAGCTGTTCCGCCAACATAGCGTTGTGCACACTATCACTTATGCGAGTGAAACATGTCCTCTGGTGGTGGTTTTTTTTACATCCCTGAATGACATAAGTTTTGCTCACATAAGTGGTAGTGTAGACGTGGCCTTAATTAAGCAGCTTAAGATCCCTTGAAGCATAACAAAACACGAAGTTAACAGCCCACTCAAGACTGGGCATTTTAACCAGCAATTGTCTGTCTTAAAGATGAACGGTTTTTGGTTTTAAACCACATTGTATTGGGATGAAGGAAACTTTAGGGCTAAGTTTACACTAGCTTTTATGGAAAAACTCCCCATTGTTTCCACTAGCACATATGTTTGGTAGAAGAGGGCACCACTGTTCTTACCATTGTGTCCTTATGCTCTGGGAAATTGTCAGGTTATTTATTAGGTAAATTCTTGATGATTCTAACACCTTTGTTCCCCCCACTGCTTAAGCTGATTTTAAGTAAGATATTGCTAATACACCCAGCATCTTAGAATATAGACAGTTAGCTAGGAGATATCTACTGTAGATGGAGAGAAAGCCACTGTATGCATGTTGCACTTCTGTCCTGCTGCATGTGGGATGATAAAGCCAGCAGAGAGTGTTGATCATCTAGCCTGACCTACCTAACACCAGCCTTAGGACTTCCCTGAATTAATTCCTGTTTGAACTAGAGCAAACCTTTTTGAAAAAAATCCAATCTAGACTTAAAAACTTCTAGTGACGGAGATTCCCCTACAGCCCTTGGTAAATAGTTCCAATGGTTAATTACCCTATTACAATGTGTGTATTTAGAGTCTGAATTTGTCTAGTTTCAGCTTCCAGCCATTAGATATTGTTACACTTTGCTTGTTACATTGAAGAGCACTGTATTATAAATTATTGCTCCCTATGTAGATACTTGGATTGTTAGTAAATCACCCTGTAACCATCTATTTGATAAAACTAAATATATTGTCAAGTATCAGGGGGTAGCCGTGTTAGTCTGTATCTACAAAAACAATAAGGAGTCTGGTGGCACCTTAAAGACTAACTGATTTATTTGGGCATAAGCTTTCGTGGGTAAAAACCTCACTT